CGGGGGCGGGCGGCGGGCAGGTGACGCGGGGCGCACTGTACGGCGGCTGATGAGGCTATGACGCCGGCCCGATGTATGCGGAGCGTAGAATGGCCGCCCGCGATCTGACCGCGAGGATGCGTCAGCATTGCTGGACGTTGATGTGTACGACACGGCCTTGGTGACGGTGCTCGTGGGGGCCTAGCTGGGACCAGGCGGCTGAGAGAGGCTGGGCTGGGCGGAGCGAGGAAGCGGAGCGCGTCTTTCATGATGCCGCCTGTGATCCCGGCTAGCCGAGCTGCCCCACCCTACCTTACCCTGCCCCGCCCTACCGCCCCACCCCACCCGGTCCTTCCCCTCTGCGCGCCTCGCAGGTGTCGTAATTGGGCCACTTTTGAGTTGGCATTGCCCCTCTGTCTCTCTCTCTCCCGCTCGCTCGCTCACCCGCCATCTTTGCTCTCCTCGCGACTGATGCCTCCCCCCCTTCCCCAGACTCTCCGTCTGCGGTGCCGCCCGTCCTGCTCATTGACAGCGCTACACTTCGCCACTCTGCCCCCCACCCCTCCTCTGAATGAAGATTCCTGAAGTGTGCGGCTGGTCGCGTAGGCGGGTGTCGTGTCGCCGCGCGGGGCGAGCGCACCTGGCCGGGTGAGGGACCCCGGCACGGCGCCTGCAGGTGCGCGCCGCCGTGCGCCCGGCCGGGGTCCTCGGCGGCATCCTGTATACAGCAGGACGTGCCTCCTTGGTGGAGGTGCCTCCTCGGTCGGTGCGCGGACCGCGGGACGGCCGGACGGGACGGCGGCGGTGGTGGCGGCGATTGCGGCGCGGTGCAGCCGAGCGTCTCGTAACAGTGCTGGGTAGCGGTCCGCCCCGGGTCCTTACGGTGAGCTGGCACGCCACGCTGGCCACGCAGCCCAGGCGCGCAGCCCAGGCGCGCAGCCCCGGGCCGGGGCAGTGCTCTCTCAGGAGCAATGTGTGTGGGTAATAAAAGCGCGGTATATACGGTAGTGCCTCCCTGAGAGCGGCGGGCCGGGGCCGGGCGGGCGGCGGGGCCCACCGGAGGATTGTGTTCGGGGCCCAACCCGACCCGGCCAGCAGGCCCCGGCCACAGGCCGATCCAGGCGGCGACCTTGCTCCGATTTGTGGGTCACACGCGGCATGGCCAAAATACATACTACTCATTCGCTGCTCTCACTCTCACGCACACAGCCTCCATATCTCGCCATCGCCCCCATGGCATCTCGTCTCTCTTACGCACTCACTGGTTTCTCTAATGCGTCCGTCGCGTAACAAGGATACGCGTTTTTAAATCCGAGGCGCGTGCGCGCGTGTCCTGCCGGTCGCCGCCGCCGCCGCTCTGCGGGGCTCTGCGTGCAGCCTCAATTGCCGCGGTCGCGTGGCGCGGTCCTGGCTGGCGGTGCTGCGCGGCGCGGTGGTGGCGGCGCGATGCGGGTCCATCTCGTGTCGCGGGGCGGGAGGGACAGCACGCGCGACCGGGCCGCGCTCGGGGGAAGGACACACCTCGCCGAAAAGGCCAAAGTAAAAATAAATAATTAATCTTTGTGGGTTTCTTGCGCTGGCGGCGGCGCCGCCGCGTC